ACACAACAACATTAGTAGTTTTCTGATGGAAGAGGTGGATGAAAGAGAAGGTGACTGGTGGAGTAGTTGTTCTCCAGGATCAGTTCAAAAAGCACATGATAGTGGTATACAGAGATAGATCTCTGGGTGGCTTGAATTACTTTATTTTCTTTGTCAAAATAGTGTTAAAAGAGCTTATGATAAATTGTGTCATGAAGTGCTCTTCTGTTGAAGTAACCACAGAGACACTACTGTTTCATCTCCTAAAATGGGGGAGGAAGAGATATTCACTGGTAAGAGAACATGATATATGAGAAATTATTTCTAGAACATGGTTTAACCCCCTAAAGGAGGTATGAGAGCATGTGAATTTGAGGATGCAAGTGAAGCCTGCACGGTTCTGTAAGTCACTGCCAGCTGGCTACTTGTAACAGGGTTCACTTTTCTAAAACTGTAATGGCTCTAGACACCATGGTACAAATTCTGATACTGATCAGAGCTCAACTTTTCTTCTAAGCTCCAACTTGGCAGGCAGGTTTTCCATGACCTGTTCAGTGACCCATATCAAGTCATAATACTGTGAATGAGGGATCCTTTTGTTGTATGTTGAATATCTAATAATAAAACTTCTGAAATCTTGTGTTTCCAAAGAGAAAATCTTTGCTTATTCATGAACATCACTCCTTATTGCTCTTCCATCTTTCCTAAGGAAAAAGCCTCAGTTTCACTGCAAAATAAAATTAATCTATAAGGAGTTACATTAACCTTCAACTTCACAAAAAGCTTTATGCTTCTTTTAAATTTCTTTCCTTGATGAGACTTTTTGCTCACTGTGTAGAACCATTGTATAATCACCTTTTCTCTTGGTGGAAGATGATTTTGTTTTTCTCTCCATAAAAATTAAAAAAAAAAAACCAACTTGGTCTTGAATCTTATAATCTTACATGGTTCTTGCAAGTCCACAGACCATTTCTGGGCAAGAAAACTTAGGGTGTCAGGATCAGAGCAAGGAGTTCTTGGTAAATAGAGGTTAATTTCCTGTTTGCTGTCTATTTCTTACTTTTATTCTGTATTCACAGCTAATGCAAAATTAGTTAAGAATGACATACCAAATTCATTTTTGTATGAACTGTAAACAATGGACTTCAGCAAGAAAAAATAAACATTCTCAGTATTAAAGTTGGTTTCATATTATGGCCCAAATTAATTTCTGTTCAATAATTTCCAGGATTAATGGGTATCACTATATAATTTTTGGCTGTGTGAAACAAACCAGTTACTTAAAAAGACACATCAGACTTAAATGTGAAAGAGGGAAATAAACCATGAACTATACAAAGAAAAAAAAATTAGAGACCAGTTTCCAGCAGGCAGTGCACAGAAGGTGTGATTTCCCTTGCAAGGAAGGCTGGGGGTGTTATTTGCTGTGCTGGGATGCAGGAGCTTACACTGTTCCTAGCTCTGTCATGATGTTGTGCCTCATTCTTCTAGTCTCAGCTTGGAATTTCTCCAGTGAGGATAATAATACTCCATTTCAGACCTTTGTCTTTTTATTTAAACTGGAAGATTTTTGGAGCAGGAACCATTTTCTGATCTGTGTGTTTTTTAAAATACCAGATAATTGTAGCTCCCAATTCTGTAACATAAACTATTAAGTTCCTGGAAAGGAACCCTGGTGCTTAAAAGAGGGACCTTTTTGTCTCTGGGTAAAATCCCTATTAAGTAACTTGTATCTGTTAAGGGCAAACAGAAGAGGCTGTTTATAGCTAGATCAGTTTTGTTTAGCCTCAAGTATCTGAGCACATCATGTCATGTTTCAGTATTTTCATTCAGAATATGGAAGTGCTGAGGGTTTGGTGGTTTCTTTTTGTGTCAGAGGGGCTTTTCCAGGTCATAGTCTGATGTACAGACACGACAGCATCACAAAGCCTGGGCCTTGCAAACGTTGCTTACGACATGCTAGATTGTCTAGTTGTCTTTGCATTAATTTGGGCTTGTTATTTCTTAACAAAACTTGCAGTGTCTAAAAAGAGACATTCACGTGTCTCAAAGGTTGCGTGGGAAATGTTTAAGTAACATAAAACCCATTAATTTTATATACAATTCAGGATAAGCCTAAATTCAAACCCCAGAAGAAGCATTTGTGAGTTTATGGGAGGTTGAGTAGTTCTGGATTTTGCACCCTAGTTCCCAGTTAAGCGGCCTTAGCTGTACCGGTGGTGGGGTGGGAAGGGAGAGATCTGTTGCAAATCACACGATGTCTTTTCTAATTTTTCTGTTCCTGTGCATGATCCCTCTTACCCAGAATCTTCCCTGCAGAATACACAAAGAAACACACAACTGGGGCTACAAGATGTTCTAAAATCTGCCTCTGTGCCCAGCTGTTTGCTGCCTTGCTATGTTTTTAACCTTTAACAAGATACCATTGAGTGTTGCTATCTTATTGCAAAGGTTTTGTACCTTGGTGATTTCTCATGGGCAGCTCCTCTCAGCACTGACTCCTTCTTCTCAGCACAGCCAACAAACTCCATCCAACTGCTCGACCAGCCAACCTACTCTTTTACAATGCCCATCCTAAGTGGATCCAGCTGTGGCCTATTAAGGGTGGCCTGTTCCTAATTCTTGATAATTAGCACAGCTGTAACTCCTTAGGGGTGAGATTACCTTCACCACTATCTCTGTTTTCCTACATTCCACCCATCCACAGTTGAGTTCCTTTCCACATTGCAAATAAAATCTATTTCAAAATTGGCACCCAAATAGATCAGATACTTCAGTATCCCAGGTGTCTGTGATTTGGTTTTTACATTGACAGGCTGCTGTAAAGCCTCAGGAAGAAAGACAGAGGATGTGTTTTAGTTCTGTGGTTTGAATTAGGTTTGACAAATTTGGTAATAATAAAACATTTTGAGTAGAAAAATACTTAATTTCATGCTTATATCATGCTTATATTTTTATTTGGACTTACTGATATATGTAAATATTTGCTTTGAGCTCAGCAAGGAGCTTTCAATAAGTCTTACAAGAATTTTATGTAAAGTTTCTTACACTTGTAATCTGCCTAATGAATATCCTTATGTTAATAACTTATGTTTCATTTCTTTCTTGGAGGATGGCGTGGTACTGGTTCACTGTAATGCAGGAGTCTCCCGTGCAGCAGCTGTAGTCATTGGTTTTCTAATGAATTCAGAAAGACTGAGCTTTGCCAGAGCCTTTTCCTTGGTGAAAAATGCAAGGCCTGCAGCTTGTCCAAATCCTGGCTTCATGGAGCAGCTCCACAAGTACCAAGAACAGATTTTAAACACAAATGGAAGCATAAACAATCATGACTGATCTAAAGGGAGAAGTGAAATTATCTGTTTTGACTATACAGGAAGAGATGTTGGATGTACTTTAATCTGTCATTTTGAAATCCCCTTTCACATTTGCATTTTCAAGTCTTTATGTATTTTTTTCTTACCCTCCTTTGACCCTGTTTTTTCTAGCATGTCATCAAAAGGCCAAATGGTGTTGTACTGACTTCAGAGAAGTTTTGCCTAAAACCAGAGCACTAATAAAAAGATACAGCTCAGTTTTCCTTGAAATATTAGAAAACAGTAGAATGATGATTTGCTTACTGAACCATCAGAAAATGCAGGCAATAGAGAAAGGAAGTAAAATAACTGAGGTAGGTAAGTTGCTTTCTTTCCAAATCTGTGCCTTCCTAGTTGGTTGTAAAATCGAGATAATAAAATGTTCATATAATGGATTTTAAAATTATATTGCAACTATAGATGATGATACTGAATTTTGTGGGCTAGCTAGCCATTAATTTTTTTTTTTTAATTAAAACTATGGTCTTTTGAGGATGCTCAAAATGCATAGGATGCTTTAATGCTTTGTGTATTTCTGTTGTTTCTCATCTAGTAGTAGTTTGAAGTGCACTAACATGATGAGTACAGTCTTGGAACTAGCAGGGTTTTTTTTCCCTGTACATAATTTCAGTAGAGATATAAAAAATGTTGATAATGATCTGTCTCTGCTCATGCTACTGTCTTCGTCACATCTGGTGCTGTCCCCTCACTCCATTCCACATCATATGTAAAGAACAGACATGATAGGATGTGTAATTTTCATCCTCCTGAGAGATCCCAGGCTGAAATTACTATTATGCTTTAAAAAAAATTTGACAAGATTTTAATAGTATTTTGTGGCCTTCATTATTTGATATATTAATATGCAACAAAATAAAGAGAACACTGTGTTTGGATTAATTGTGTGCTAAAGGTTTGGTTTCAGGATTGGCGTTCTGTCCTGGTACAGCAGTTTGAGCTGTACCACAGGGTTGTGTTTGAACCACGACCTCTCTCGTTCTCAGCGTGAATCGCTCAAGAGTGTGTAGTGACAGGGCAAGGGGGAATGCATTCCGGGAGAGGCTGTAGGTAGAGATTAGATTATTTACCCTGAGGGTGGGGAGGCCCTGGCACAGGCTGCCCGGAGAAGCTGTGGCCGCCCCATCCCTGGGAGTGTCCAAGGCCAGGTCGGACAGGGCGAATTGGGATAGCGGGAAGTCTTTTTGCCTGTGGCACGGGGTGGAGCTGGTTGAGCTTTAAGATCCCTTCCAAGCCAACCCATTCCATGATTCCACGCCAAACGTTAATGCGGGGATCAGGCAACCCCGCGGTATCTGATCGCTGTCCGCGGTCACTGACCCCGTGTCCGCGGGGAACAGCTCCCCGCCTTGTCCCGGGTGGCCGCGGTGCCGCAGCCGGGCACTGACTGACACCCTTCCCCTGGGGAAGGCACTGTGGGGAGGCCGCTCCGAGTTCCCAGCCCGCGGGAGCAGCCCGGGAGCAGCCCTTGGTAACGGTGACGGCGTTCCCTCAGCTCTGTTCGCGACCCGCTCCTCCCTGAGGGACCGTTTGCCGAGGAGCCGGGAGCGGACCGGCCGCCACCCTCACCCCCGGCCGGACGGGGCTCCGCCCGCCCCATTTCGTCCCAACATGCCATGGGGTGGGTCGGAAGTGACGGCGGCAGGAAGCTCCGTCCCGTTTGAAAGCGCCCGGCGGAGCCGCGGCCGCCGCCTCTTTCCCGCCCTCCGGGCCGACATGGCCGCCTTCGCCATGGAGCTGCCGCCCGCAGGTGAACGGGGCCCGCGGCTCCCGCCGGCCGCGCCGCGCTTCGGCCGTGCTGGGCCCGCTTCGGGGGGCTGCGCTGCCCGGCCGGGGGCGCCCGGCGGGCTCCCCGGCGCTCCTGTGAGGGGAGTGGGGCCGGGACCGACCCCCTGCGCTAGGCGGGGAGTGGGTGCTGCTGAGCCGAGTGCGAGACGGCGCCGGGAAGGGGCGGTTCGCGCTGGGCTGGTGCGAAAGGGGAGCGGGGTTAGATCCGTCGGCCGCCACTTGTAATTGCGACAAATGCAAGGTTGTGATAAACTCGGCTTACCTGTAAAATGAAGATTGAACCGCTTTTGATCTCATCGATACATGCAAATATCTCCGAGGCGGGTGCCGAGAGGATGGTGCCACGCTCTTTTCGGTGATGCCCAGCCACAGAGAGAGGAGTAATGGCCATAAACCAAAACAAGAAGGAGTTCTGTCTCAGCGTGAGGAGGAACTTCTTTACACTGAGGGTGGCCGAGCACTGGAAGAGGCTCAGACTGCCCAGGAAGGCTGTGGAGTCTCCCTTTCTGGAGACATTCCAAACTCGCCTGGAGACGTTTCTGTGTCCCTGCTCTGGGTGACCCTGCCTTGGCAGAGGGTTTGGAGTAGATGATCTCCAGCGGTCCCTTCCAACCCTAACGATTCTGGGATTCTGTGATTTAATCACTTCCTGTTTCTTGTGTTATGTTTCTTTCATAGAGCCCACAATAGAAAAAGCTGCCTTTGTCTTTCTCTTGTCTCTTTCATATTGTAAAATTTTGTTTTCAGGAGCTGAACCAATGACTCTTGGCTCCCCGACATCTCCAAAACAAGGAACTAGTGCTCAATTTCTCCCTGGGTTTTTGATGGGTGACTTACCTGCACCAGTGACTCCGCAGCCACGTGCTTTATACGGCCCTTCAGTCGGTGTCATGGAAACAAGGTCTCCACTACTTGCAGGTCAGAATTTGTTAAACGTTGGAAAATTGTCCTGAAAGAAAAAAAAAAAAAAGTTTTGTCTCTGTTCTGCATGACTGTTGCAGACTTCAATCCTTATAGTTTTATATCTTTCCATAAGCAAGCTCTACTGATTGAGTAAGTGGTGAACTCAGTGTATTCAATTATAATAAATGTTTTAAATGTGACAGTTTTGGTATCAGGAAAAGTTTGTTTTGCAGGGAAGGTAATAAACCTCTCAATACAGAATCAAATTATATGACTCTTTACAAGTCAATTGCACATACATTGATATTGAAAACAGAGATATCTGCTGGCAAACTAAATGCAACTTGTGCAAACTGTTGATTTCTTTGCAGAATTTTTTCTATTTCTTTGAATTCTAAAAGGTCACAGGTTGTCAAACTTACAAAAACTGGGTGGTGAAAAACTGAAAATAAACTTCTTAATTAGTATCTAGTGGTTATAGCTAAAGTCTTGATGTCTGCTGTCATTGGACTGGAGCAGTTTTCCTAGCTAGTAGAATGCTCATTTCTCTTTAACCACCCAATTAATCAAATTACAAGTTCTTACCCCATGTTAGTATTGTACATCTGTTTTCTTCTCTGAGAAGAATGGGTAATTGACATGCCATGCGTGATCTTGGCTTTTGTACTAAATCAGTTGGCATAATTTAATGTCTGATGGTGTTAATATGCTAGTCATTTTGAAGGAAAAATTGAGGATTAAAGTACTCCAATAATTTCTCTTAATAAAATATTCTCTTCTTTGAATGTCAGACCAGATTGGACTCAATGATCTTTCCAGGTCCCTTCCAACTTAAAATGTTCCATAATTGGAGGTTTGTTTGTCTTCTGCTTCTTGCTCTTGTTTGCCTGCCCTTGCACATCTGGGAACAAACCTCTTATGAAAATATTTATGAAATTGAAAGTAATCATGTGAATTTCACCAAATGGTTTTTAAAGGGTTTATTATAGCCTCAGAGTATCAATTTTAGGAAAAGGGGAGCCAGTAAGATTCTAGCACAGACTTCCCAAAGGGAGTGATCAAGTACATCACTTAAACTGCAAACCTTGATGGGAGAGTGCTTTACATAATGCACATTATTCCATGTAACAGTAGCAGTTCTTGTACGTGTTAAACAGTTCAGAGCGGAGTCTTGAGGCTCAGAATTTAGGATTGGAAAAGCTTGGTTTGCAAATGCTTTGCAAGGGAAAACTTGATGCAAACTACTTTTTTTTTTTTTTTCCCTAGGGTAAATCCACATGAAGGGTTAAGTCAAGCCTTTTCAAGGAGTTTAATTCTCTGTTATACTGGAAGTCCCAAAGTTTACAGAATGGGAGGGCAGCTGGTTTAACTTCATCCTGTCTATATGCAAGCTCTAGTCGCTGCTCTCAAGAGTTTACATTTTTATTTAATATGAAATTAGATGAGAAGCCAAGGAATTGGGACCGTGGGAATGTGACAGTAATGTGCAATGTCTCTGTGCATTTGGGTGTGGTTCTTTAACATGTAGGATATCTCATTTTTAAAAAAATCTTGCTTTTTCGTCTGTACTACAGGCAAGTTAGTCTCTGAAACAATTAAAATAGATTTCTAGCCTGGCTTAAAATTGAAAGATAAAGCCATGCTCAGGACTTCAGAGAAAGAACATGTAAACAGTGAATATAATGGGTTAATAAGAGGTCTGAAAGTTCTAAATAATACTTCTGTAGGATGCTGTTTGAGACACCTGTGATGTTCCTACCTAGAACATTCAAACCTGAACAGTTTGGTAGGACAGATGGCTCTGCAAACCTCCAGTGAAACAATCAAGTCTCAACAACAATCAACACGAGAGCATGGCTGAATGTATTACTGAGGTTTCAAGAACAAGTAGCACCAAAGCAAAATGACACGTTTTCTTATGCTCTACTTTTGTTCCTTTGCCTCGCAGGAGGGTCTCCACCACAACCAGTAGTCCCTTCACATAAGGACAAAGGTGGTGCTCCACCAGTTAGAAGCATATATGATGAGTTATCTAGTCCTGGGCTTGGATCAACACCTCTGTCCTCAAGAAGAACAGTAAGTGTCTTCTGTACTGGCCTGATCTTAGCAGAAGATGTGAGGCAGCTTACTGCCTCAGTGGATTCTCAAATTTATTTGTATAAACTGCTTTAGCAAAATGAGTGGTGACCCTTCAGATCATGCTGTTGCTTAGTATGGGTTGTTCTGTGTACCTGTTCCTGTTTAAACAGGAGCTGTGGTCATGAAGCAAATTCCTGTTATTGCCAATTTTCAGTTCGGTGGGAAATGAAAAATGCAAGTCATCCTCAGTTATGCAAGCCATGACTCGGTTATGTTCTCAAATTCAGCTTTGTTGTCAGCTTTTCACTTTCTTGTGAGTTTATTGGGCTGCTGATTGCCAGAAGGACCCTTCCACAGCTTGAAAGGAAGTGTAGCAAAGTGGAGGCTGGTCTCTTCCCCTGTAAAACAGGTAATAGGACAAGAGAAAATGGCCTCAGGTTGGACCAGAAGACGTTTAGATTGGATATCAGGAAAAATTTCTTCACTGAAAGGGTGGTCAGGCACTGGAACAGGCCACCCAGGGAAGTGTTAGAATCGCCATCCTTGAAAGTGTTCAAAAATGCATGGAAGTGGCACTTGGGGACATGGTTTAGGGGGCAGGATGGCAATATTAGGTTAACAGTTGGACTCAGTGATCTCAGAGGTCTTTTCCAACCTTAATAATTCCAGGTTTCTGTGATTACCTTTTAGAAGGCAATGGAGGCACTTATGGAAACAGAAGGAATTTTTTCTGAATAAAATATCTAATCAAAGTTTGGGTAGACAGTTGGGGTTAATTTTGAAAGAGAAACACTGAAATTTCTATGAGATAAATTTTATAATAAGCTCTGCTGCTTAACTGACTAATGAAGCACTACTAGGTCCTTTTTCACTGAACTCTTGATGCAAGGAGAACATTTTAAACTAAATGAGCAGTCTTTGTGTTGAGTGTTGCCTTCTCAAAACTATTCTGAAAGCTGAGGTTCTCCATGAAGGACAGAACCCTATAGTGTCTTAAAGGACTGGATATTAAATTTAAAAAAATGTTGAGCAGCTATCAGAACCTTTGTTGCTAGGTCTACAGGTACTTCAGGCTATTCCATCTTGTATCTAAGAAATGCCATGATTCAGGCTAAAAATAGACTAAAATTGTTTGGGGTGTTGAAATCCTGTGTTAAAAAGAAAACAACTGCTACCATCTAAAACTCAAAGTATACTTTCCTTCTATGCACTAAATAGTTGAGCAGGAAAGTAAGTCTAGTAATAGTCTCCATACAAGGGAAGGTTATGTTTCCGTGATTTCTGAACCCTTTAGGCAGTGAAAATGCTGATAAACTTAGGATACTAATATCATTCCCATTGGGATGCACATGAATGTGTGACTTACTACAGTGCAGCAATAGTGACAGGACTGTTTTAAGAAGGTAAACCAAAGGGTTTCTGAGTATTGATACTTAAAGCTACTTTGTTTCACAAAGCATATGTCAAATATGTAGTCAGATAACTTTTCATTAATAGCTCTTGGCAATCTTTTGTTAAATATACTTGCAAATATCTGTTTTCTAAAAAGTAAGGAATAACTTAAGGTAAACAGTTAATATTGTTACCTGAATGTTTAAATCACTTGAAAACTGTCTCTCTTGATCTGAGCAGTATACCTATAAGAATAATTTGTTACTTTCTGTATATTAATGCAGGCCAGCTTTACTTTAACACAAAGCCCATCAGTTGGAATTCTGCCATCAACTCCGGGAGCAGGTAAATGTCCTGTCAAAATTTCTATTCCCTTTTCATACTACTTTCTTTAATACAGAAAAATCATCACTGTTCAAGCTACATCAGTTCCTTGCTAATTTATGAGGAGGTGGTGCATTTGTTAGCTTTTCAAACGGTGTGTGGGTATGAGTAGGAAATGATCATTCATTCTGAGACTGAGTTTCAAGCAACTTTCCTTGTTCCAAATGTGGTGTTGGACTGAGCACAGAGGTGGTTGTAATTAAATGAAGGAGCTGAGATTGATGGATTGCCTTCCATCTTCACAAGGTTTGATATCTTGTGTATGAACCAGTGGTTTCTTGCTAAGCTTTATTCTGTTAACCAGTTCCTATTTGGCAACTGTATTAGCTGTTGGTGTTTTGAAGTCAAAGAGAGCACTAGGTTGCTGGTCATAAAAACTTACTAGTGTGTTTGCAGATATGAAGTTATGATTGACTTACTTGTTCTGTCTGTGAGTAAATCCCCATCAAACTCTTCCACATACAAGTGAAATGCTTGACACTGAATTTATTATTTATAAACCTCTGTCTTGCAAAAGAAATTTGTTCAGCAATACCATTTCAATTTAACAGCTTCAAGCATGTTCAGTCCTGCAAGTATTGGGCAGCCTAAGAAGACTACTCTATCTCCTGCTCAGCTGGATCCTTTTTATACTCAAGGTGATTCCCTTACTTCAGAAGATCAACTTGATGACACATGGGTAACTGTATTTGGGTAAGTTGATTTCCAAAGTATTGGAAAAACATGGGTTAAGTCTTTACAGCATAGGAGAAAAATACTTGAGCCTTGATGTTGTCTGGCATTGGTATGTGTTGCAAATACAGCTATGGTTAAAGCAAGCAAACACCTGCATTTCAGTGAGGCATCTTAAATTGAGCTACACATTATTTTTTCTAATTAGAAAGGCACCATTCTGCTGTTGGGGTGTGTGGTAAAGTGCCTAGAAGGTGGTGGCATTTCTCAAGTCACTGCTTCTGATATTATAGTGGTCTCTTCTGGATTTCTGTAAATGCTTCATAGGGTTATATCTTGACACCTGAATTTTTAAACTACTCATAATTTTTTGAGTATTTTTTTCTGTCTTTCAGATTTCCTCAAGCATCAGCTTCCTATATTCTACTACAGTTTGCTCAGTATGGAAACATATTAAAGCATGTGGTATGTCTTAGTTTGACACTTATGTCAGAAAACGTTGTGAATTAAGCATTTTAAAAACTACATTTCACAATTTTCACTTTGTCTCATTCAGATGTCCAACACAGGAAACTGGATGCATATTCGATATCAGTCCAAGCTTCAAGCCCGGAAAGCCTTAAGCAAAGATGGAAGAATTTTTGGTGAATCTATCATGATTGGTGTCAAGCCTTGTATAGATAAAGTAAGTTAATAGTTGCTTTTAGTTCAAAGGCACTCTGCTTTTGGTCTTTCTTTTTATTTTCCCTGACCTTTTTGATTTTTTTTCTTTTGGAATTGGACATTGTAGGTAGTTCATCTATATAGATATAGTCTGTTACACATTTACATAAGTTTTTTTCTTAAATATTTGTCAACATTTCCTGCTGAGAAGGATCATTATGAGCAATCTCTGTGCTCCTTGGAAGTTACAATGCATGCAATTATATTGCTGTATGAGACAAGCAAGTGAAACCATAATGTAAGACACAATTGAGACAAGTTTCCTGACTGGAATGCAACAGATACCTAATGGCAGATTAAGACTATTGCTGCTCCTAATTGTACCTCTCTATTTTTTATGTGACTATGTACTTCTGGCTCTTGAATTTCTCTTAGTACTTTGGACTGAAAATTTGTTAGCAAGAAAATCCCAATCCTGTTCTCCCACCTGCCCCTATAAAAACATGTCACTCTCTTGTAAGTAGTAGTTGGGGGTAGACGTGGCCGTCTTGTAGTCTTAATAGTAACATGAGCTGTTAGTGTCTAGGTATTGGCAATATCCTAACCTTTAATACTTGCAGCCCTTTGCACTGGGTACTGTACATTAGCTTAAGCAAATAACAGTCATTCTTCAGTCATTCTACACAGATTTTTTTTTTTTTTTGGTCTCCTTCAAGGATATATGGTACTAAAGAGTAATGTAAGCTTTCCAACGTAAATCATTGTGAGATGGCAGCTTAGAAACTGAACTTGCAATTACTAAAGTTTTCACAGTCTGAAACATTTCTTATACTCAGTAAAATTCAGAAACAAGTACTTCTATGGCCCTTTTCTCTGTGGGCTTCTGCTGATGGTCTGTCCATGCATTTTTACTCTTTTGGTGTCCACTTTGTATCGATGAATGAATTGTCTGTAAGCTGAAGCTCTAGGAGAAATGATCTAAGACATAGAATTGCCAGGCATCTGATCTTCATTGCTTTTGAATCCTCATTTTGTCTTTTGTGAATAGTATCCACTTTCATATACCATAAATAAACCTATAGTCATTAATTTGTATTTTTGGAGGCAAAAGATTTCAGGAGACTAATCCATTGAAGGATTGATTTTGGTAAGACTTTCCTACAATTGAAAACTAGATATGATGGATTTGACATCAGCACTTAGGCTTCTGATTTAAAAGTATTAGTTAATTCCATGGGTTCCCCTTGCGCTGAGCAGTCAGCTGCCCACCCACCACGTAAACCAATCCTATTCTTTGTTTTGGAAAGTGCTTTTCTACCAAATGTGCTGCTGAATTTCTGCTGTCTTTAGGCTGGTGGAATCCTGTGCTCTACTGAGTCTGAATGCACTAAATCATGTTATTTACCATCCTGTTTTCTCTAGTTTGTTGTGGAACTTGTGGTTCCCATCAAGTCACCTCCTACCTCTTCCATTCTACATGCATTTCTTTCTAAACACAAACTTACGAAATGGAGCCTTGAGGTTTGATTGCATTTCCTATTGTATTGTATTCTCTACATTTACATGTACATTTAGTACAGACAGCGAACAGATTCCAGCCTTCCACTACAATGGCATAATTCCACATGTAAATGATTGCAGTGACGAAAATTCTTGGTGGTCATGTGTACCTATATGTTCCGTACTGACACACCTTTTATCTTTTGGGATTCAAATATGATTTATCAAAAAAAAAATCAAATAGTTGATAATTTTAGATGATAAAGGTTGTAATACTTTTCAGTATTTGTTTACATTATATTAACCCTCTATTTAAGAGTGTGATGGAAAACTTTGAAAGAAGCTCTACGTCCTCAATGTCTTCGATTTTCACTCCACCTACAAAATCTGCCAGCACACCAACACAACCTGCAAATAATACTGCAAGGATTTCTACCATGAGACCTCTTGCAACAGCATATAAGGCTTCCACTAGTGACTATCAGGTATTTTGAAGGAAATAGGAACATGTGTTTTTGTGTTACCTCCCCTTAGCTCTGCGAGGCTGTGCGGACATTAACTTCAATGTGACCTTACCTTTTGCGGTCAGTTCTTTAATGATGTGGTTCACGTACAAGCTCAGTCTGTTCAGTCTCTAAAATAATAATAAAAAAATACTAAATTAAAGAGTTGTCACTTTTCCAGGGAATAAGGGCTTGTTTTGAAGATATTTCAAACATATTTTGTCAAAATGTAGTAGCACTTAGGAAAAGAGGAAATAAATGGTTAGTGTAAAAACTATTACCTACATGTTGACTGATTCTCTGTATTTTCTCTTTTTGTTTTTCTCCCTGCCTTCTAGGTGGTTTCTGACAGACAAACTCCAAGGAAAGATGAAAGTATTGTATCTAAAGCAATGGAATATGTTTTTGGCTGGTAATATACAAGAGGAAGTAACACACTAAGCTGGACAGGGTTTGAACTATGCTACTGGCATTTGTAGTTAGTTGTATAACTACTGGTGGCAGTATTTTATCTTACACAGCACCTGTTATGCCTTCAGTTTATTCAGAAGACGTGTAGCCTGCACTTTAAATGATGGCGGTGTACACATGGTTTTACAGACTAAGTGTAAATAAAAGTGCTTTATCCCTGTTTGTTCTCTGATGGCATGATTGTGAAAAAATTCTGTCTCATTAAGAAAAGTTGTCTGAACTCAGTGGCCTGTCAGTTTCCTGAGGGAGAGGTGAGCAAGACAGGAATACATAATTTTATTCAGACTCTAATCAATGACTTTGCCTTTGGTTGTATTTAAAGCCAAAGGGGGAGCTGCTGTCTCCAGTGAAACAAAACTCCTTCCTCAGCTGAAAAGTTTCCTAGCAGTGCTGGGAGGTCAGGCTGCCCTTCCCCAGCTCCGTGTTTCCAACAGCGGGAGGTTTGTGTGTGCTCTTCCCTTGAGGCAGCTGAGGGCAGCTTCTGTCTGTGCAAGCTGTGGTGGCTTTCGGATGGATGGAGAGGACCTCAAGGAAGTCCAGAGGAGGCCAGCAAGGACCAGGAAGCGATCCAAGAACTGGAGCATTACACTGCTAGGCTGGGAGAGCTGGGAATGTTCAGCCTGAAGATGGCTCCAGGGAGCCCTCAGAGCCCTTCCCAGTGCCTAAAGGGGCTCCAAGAGAGCTGGAAAGGAACTTTGGGCAAGAGCCTTCAGTAACAGGGGGAACGGCTTCTCACAGCCAGAGGGTGGGTTTAGATGGGATATTGGGAAACTCCTGTTCCTGTTTCTGTGAGCTACACAATCTAACCAGCTGATGTATTCACATTAAATCAAAATCCAGAGGAGGGAACGTAAAGATGGATTAGTCCAATTGTAATGGAAGGTGTCCCTGCCCATAGCCAGTCAACTGGAACTACAGGATCTTTAAAATACTTTCCAATACAAACTGCTGGGGGATTCTGTGATTCCCAGAGCTGAGAGCAAAACTACAATTGTACTCAAGTTCTCAACTGCTGAGAAAACATCACAGCATCAAAGGAGCTTTAGGACTCCAGCTTAGCCTTATATAGTCACCATACCAATTTACCAATCTCAAATTCAGCAACTTGGTTGTCACTGCAGACTCTGGAATTGGTGCAAGTTCCTTATCCCAACATTAGGTAGCCGAAAGGGAGCAGAACAGGCACTGACAGAGCCAGAGAAGCTCTTTCTTGCTAGAGAAAACCACATATTTAAACTGCAAAAGGGTAGATTTGGGTTAGATGCTCTTGTAAGCACCTTCCAGGACTCTCCACTGCACGGAGCACTTTTCATGCCTGCCCTGAACAGTCTGGAAAATAGAGCACAACCTGGCTCTGGGAACAGCAAACCCCAAATACAGGAGGAGGAAGAAGCAGCAGCTGTTTTGCAGCCATGCCCAAGGGAGACTGGAAGAGTCTCCTCCCTCTGGTCTCACTTGTTTGGGTTTCTGACAGTGTGTGAGGCAGGAGCTGTGATTGCTCAGTTGTGGGGACCAGAACTGCAGCCAGCACTGCCTGACAGCGCTCAGTACAGTGACATTGTCATGTGTCAGCCCCTGTACTGCTGCTTCATTTCCTTCATTTTTAGTACACCCAAAGGTCACTGGAAATCAGGGTGGTCTCTGGTTCTGCTCTCTTCCTCTCCCTTTGTAGGGAAGGACCACTGCTGTGCTTTCAAGGAAGCTATTCTTGAATAACTTCCAGCATTCCAAGCTCCTTTGCCTTCAGTGGATGCTTGCCATGGAAACCCTCACAGCTGGGTTCAGAAAATCCTGAAGTTGACTCTTCTAAAATCCACGGTCTTTGTCCTACTGGTGACATTCAGTGTGCTCAGCAAGACCCTTAGGTCCACAGTGTTGTGAAACCAGATTTTCCAGCATGATCTACCTTGTTTCTCTGCACAAAACACAGCAGAGAAAAAAACGGCAGGATGGGGCCTCTATGCTCCAGGGCTCAGGTTTGGCTCCACTTCAGCTCCACAAAGATACAAACAAGGTGAAGAAGCTGAAATGTTTATTAATGGCAAGCAAAGCAGAGGGATGAGCTCGGGAGAAGGAGAAGGGAACAAGCAGGGTCTGAGGGCTGCAGGTAGGGAGCAGTAGAGGGAAGGCAAGCTCAGGTATGTCCAGCATCAGCAGTGCCTGGAGCTCCAGCTGCTCTCCTCTGATCTCCAGGTTGTTTCCTCTTGCATGGGATCTGGTGCTGTCCTGGTTGTCTCGATCCAGAAGATGAATTTAGTGCTGTAGCTCTTTCATCTAACATGACTCGAACTATCAGGTTTGTGCTGGAGGGGCTGTCATCTGTGCTAAGGGCTTGAAGGGCTGAAACAAACAGACCCACAGTCAGAGTGAGGAAACCCCCTGAAGGGACCCAGCCCACCCAGCTCTTGCCATGGCCTGGAGGAAGCAGGACACAACAAACATCAGCTAAAAGTGCTAGCCACAAATCCCCCCACAGACCTCTCAAATGGCTCTGTCCTCTCTGATGCTGCCCCTTGCCCACACAAGGAGCGGAGCCAGCCCCAGCTGGGGCAGAGATTGCAGCTTCTCCTATTAGCTCCTACTGACACCCCGCCGGCCTCACTCACCCTCACAGATGAGCTGCAGCTCCTCTGGCTGTCCCCTCATGAGCATCCCGGCAATCCCTAGGAACAGAGAGCCTGCCATGGCCCGCGCCCGGATCCTGATGCAATGGGGAAGGGAGGAACCGAGACCCCGGGTTTGTGGCTCACCAATGGACCTGATGGCCGCCTCTCGCAGGGGCTCCTGTGGGCTCTCCATATACGGCAGGGCCAGGCGCAGGTGCTCGGCCGCTCGGCTCCTGTCCTCTGCCAGCTGCTGCACTGGACATTCCAGGCTGTCCTTACCACACGCTCAGCAAAACTCCACGGGTCGTCTGTCTTCAGCAGCTGCTTGAGGTCCTTCCTCTTCAGGAACCTCACTGCAGAAAGCAGCGTTTCCCGAGAGGCCTGCAGAGCAGCAGAGACCCAGAGGTGGAAACACAGCCCAGGGCACAGGACCTGCGTCTCTGGGCCAAGGCCAGGAGGAGGCTGGAGCCCCTGAGGTGCCAGAGTGTGGGGAGCCAGCTGAGCCCCCTGCCATGGGGACAGCAGCGCCCAGGAGGCCTCACCTGTGCCACACGCCGGTTCTCATCGTGGCAGTGGAAGAAGAGCGGGAGCAGGCTCTGGCTCACATGAATCTTCAGGGCCTTTTTCCCCTTTTCCACTACCGATTCCATCACCTTTTGGTAGAGGCGAAGGGAGAGCAGCTGCACAAGGCTGTTGTCCTGTTGGAAAGGAAAAACTCAGCACTGGATTCTCCAGGCCCTCCTGTGCACCGGCCCAGCAATCCACAGGGCACCACACTTCTGGGCAGCACCCAAGTGCCCGTGGCTGGGGGCGCAGAGCCTTACATTGTCAAAGAGGGGCCGGAGCGCCTCAGCCAGTTTCGGGGCTGTGGGGCTGGATGTGTGGATATCTTTGTGCTGGAGTAAATTTGTGAACACAGAGAGACTCATCTCGACCACTTCTGTGTCTTCATTCTTCAGTAGCTCCACAAGGCATTCAGACAGGCTGCACATTTTTTTGGCCTATGTGGAACACAAGGCTCTGCTGTGAATGCATGAAAAACTTCACCACCAACACTGCTCCAGTGATGCAACCCAACCCGCCTGCCAGGGAGTGCAGAAGCCAAAGGCCTGTCCCAAAGCGCTCAGGCAGCTGAACAGCGAGCCTGGAGAGCTGGGAGCAGCTGCCACAGCTCCCAAAGGCCAGCCAAGGCCAAGGGGCTGCTTGCCCCAGCCCCACGCTGCCAGCACGGCTTCAGCTGCCACTTCCTCACCATTGAGGGGTCCCTGCTGAGCACCACAAGGCCTTTGAGTGCCAGGCGACACCTCTCCATGGACTCGCTCTGTAGGTGCCTCGTCAAGATCTCCAGGATGCTGTTACCCCATTCATTCAAGTCCAGGCAACCCAGCACCTGAAAGGCACAGAGCGGTGACAGGGGTGCCCAGCTGGCAGGAGGCTCAGAAGTGCACAGGGCTGAGCCAAGGCAGCAGCACAGGGCGCGGGCACCGTGCCAGGCAGCTGCGGCTACGAGAGGGCAGGGGGCTGGGAGGCAGCTCAGCTCAGCAGCGCTGGCCATCGGGCTCACCTCCACGAGGAAGGCCAGGGCAGGCAGTTCCCAGCGTGGCTCCTCTCTGCTGAGCCGTGTGAGCAGGCGCAGCGCAATGCAGGAACAGAAGGGTATGGAGGCACGGCGAATCTCCCTGGTGGGGAGAAAAAGGCACCATCAGCCCCGAGCCGGGTGGGCAAACCTCTCCCAGGGCTGGCTCACAGAGGTCTGGGCTTCTCCCGAGCACCCCCACCCCGCCCCGAGGGCGCTTTGCGAGGCGGCTCTCGCCGGGCAGCCTCCTCTCCCAGCCTTTTCCAGTCTGCTCCTCCCTCCCTTGGTGACAGGGCGCTGCCGCCCGTGACCACGGGGACTGTGCGGGCTGTTCCGGGCACAGAGGAGAGGGGCGGTGGGGAGAACGAGGTCTCACCTGGCCAGCAGACCCACTGCATAGTGGTGGGTGTCGGCACAGAGCAGCGTGTCCCAGGCACACTTGCGTTCCATTGCCATCAGTAAATCCACACACTGCAGATGGTGGAACAATGCCTTCAAAGTGTTCACTACAAAGCTGTGTGCAGAGCAAAGGCCAGGTTATGCTGGGACCCCAGGCTTTAGCCCTGGGGATGTGGGAGTGACAGGAGGACTGGGGTGGAGCACCTGTTGGGATTGGTAGGAAGGCCATTTTCCTCCTGACATCTCTTCCAGAAAGTATTTACGTCCTCTGACATCTGCTCTGTAGTGATGAGAACTTGGCAGAGCAGAGACACAACAAGATTGGGGGAATATTCCACAAATGGCTCTGGGCACCAGGGCAGGCGGAGAATCTCCCAAATCACCCTGGTTGCCTGCAAAGGATAAACCATCTAGAGACAGCACTCAGTACCGAGTAGGAAGACCTGAGCATATGAGGGAGAGGCCAGGGGAGACACAGGGGGAGCATCTGGCTAGTGCCCTTGAACCTGCCCCTAAGCCAGGTTTCAGCCCAGTGCCTGAGGCAGGGAGATGCATTGCAGTGGGGGAGAGGATGGAGAG